TCCTCGGGATGGATTGGCTTAGTAAGTACAAGGCGCATCTGGATTGCCACCGCGGGAGGGCAAGGTTTGAAAGAGATGGCGAGGTTCTGGTGTATCAAGGAATAAGACTGACTTCTGGTAGCTTGCTTGTATCAGCAATACAAGCGGACCGTTTGATAGAGAAAGGGTGTGAGGCATACCTAGCGACAATATCAATAGATGAGGTTGGACCGGATGTGGAGTTAGGAGATATTCCAGTAGTACAAGAGTTTGAGGACATTTTCCAAGCTTTGACTGGAATGCCACCGGCTCGTTCAGATCAATTCACGATTGAACTTGAACTGGGGACAGCTCCGATATCGAAAGCACCGTACAGAATGGCACCGGCCGAGATGGCTGAACTGAAGAAGCAACTGGCTGAACTTTTGGACAAAGGTTTTGTAAGGCCAAGCAGTTCACCATGGGGCGCACCTGTTCTGTTTGTAAAGAAGAAGGATGGAAGTTTCAGGCTTTGCATCGACTACCGAGGGTTGAACCGTGTAACTGTGAAGAACAAGTATCCACTTCCAAGGATAGACGAGTTGTTGGACCAGCTCAGGGGTGCTACTTGGTTCTCGAAGATTGATTTGGCTTCAGGGTACCACCAACTACCAATAGACGAACCGAATGTTCGGAAGACTGCCTTTAGGACAAGGTATGGTCATTACGAGTTTGTGGTCATGCCGTTTGGTTTGACGAATGCGCCAGCTGCATTTATGAAGCTGATGAATGGCGTGTTCAGGGAGTACTTGGATGAGTTTGTGATTATTTTCATAGATGACATTTTGGTGTATTCAAAGAGTCCGGAAGAGCATGAGAAGCATTTGCGGATTGTTATGGAAAAGTTACGAGAACAGAAGTTGTTTGCTAAGTTGAGTAAGTGTAGCTTCTGGCAACGGCATATTGGGTTCTTGGGTCACATTGTATCGGACAAGAGTGTCCGTGGATCCTGAAAAGATCAAGGCTATTGCGGATTGGCCGAGACCCGAGAATGCATCTGAGATAAGAAGTTTTCTGGGGTTGGCTGGCTATTATAGGCGTTTTGTGAAGGGCTTTGCGAGTATGGCTCCGTCAATGACACGTCTGACTGGTAAGGATGTTGAGTTCGTTTGGACGGCTGGGTGTGAGGAGTGTTTCTTGAAGCTGAAAGGAATGCTTACAAGTGCACCAGTGTTGGCTTTACCTGAGCCGGATGAACCGTATGTGGTGTACACAGACGCTTCTGGGAAAAGACTAGGTTGTGTCCTAATGCAGCATGGAAATATGATTGCATATGTGTCGAGGCAGCTAAGGAATCATGAGGCGAACTACCCTACGCATGACTTGGAGATGGCAGTTGTAGTCTTTGCGTTAAAGATATGGCGATCCTACTTGTATGGTGGGAAAGTTCAGGTGTTTACCGATCATAAGAGTTTGAAGTACATCTTCACTCAACCTGAATTGAATTTGAGGCAACAAAGATGGATGGAGTTAGTCGCTGACTACGACTTAGAGATAGCTTATCATCCGGGAAAGGCTAATCTCGTTGCTGATGCATTAAGCCGGAAGAGGGCTAGTGTATCTTCTGCCAAGGATGTGGAAGGAGTTGTGAATCTCCTAAGGACGTTAGGGTTGAACGTGTTATCTGAAGAACTGGAACCCTTAGGTTTGGGAGCTGCGGATCAAGCTGACTTGTTATCAAGGATTCGTTTGGCTCAAGAGGAGGATGAGAATCTGAATAAGTTGTCACAGAGTGACAAGACCGAGTATCAGACTTCCAACAATGGGACGATTGTTGTGAATGGCAGGGTGTGTGTTCCTGACGTGAAAGAGTTAAGGGAGGAAATTCTAAGGGAAGCACATCAGTCAAGGTTTTCTGTGCATCCGGGAATGACCAAGATGTACCAGGATCTGAAAAGGTACTATCACTGGGTCGGGATGAAGCGGGACGTAGCCAAGTGAGTGGCTAGCTGTCCGACATGCCAGCTGGTTAAGGCTGAGAATCAGGTTCCAAGTGGGTTGTTGCAAACATTACCAATACCGGAATGGAAATGGGATATGATCACAATGGATTTTGTGTTGGATTTTCCGAGGTCTCTGAAGAAGCATGGTGCGATTTGGGTCATTGTTGATATGCTGACCAAGTCTGCTTACTTCTTGCCTATGAGGAAAACGGATGGAGTGGCTAGGCTGGTGGAGTTGTATGTCGATGAGATCGTCAAGCTTCATGGAGTGCCTGCGAGCATTGTGTCAGATCGTGATCCAAAGTTTACTTCACGATTCTGGAAAGAGATTCAGAAAGAGTTTGGGACGAAGGTGCATATGAGTACTGCATATCATCCACAAACAGATGGTCAGTCTGAAAGGACCATCAGGACGTTAGAGGACATGCTGAGAGCGTGTGTACTGGACTGGGGTGGTAACTGGGAAAGTTATCTACCGTTGGCTGAGTTTGCGTATAACAACAGTTACCATAGGAGCATTGAGATGTCCCTGTATGAGGCGTTGTACGGAAGGCCATGTAGAACACCGCTATATTGGACCCAAGTGGGGGAGCAGAGTGAGTTAGGACCTGCTATAGTCGAAGAGACTACTGAAAAGATCAGGTTTCTGAAGGTTAAGCTGAAAGAGGCTCAAGACCGACAAAAGAGTTATGCGGATAAGCGCCGTAAGGACTTAGAGTTCAGTGTGGGCGATCTGGTTTATCTGAAGGCTATGACTTACAAAGGGAAAAGCCGAGCAATGTTTGATGCTAAGTTGAGTCCGAGGTACATGGGACCGTACCGGATTTTGGAAAGGATTGGACCAGTGGCGTATAAGTTGGACTTACCGCCGGAAATGAGTGCTTACCACAATGTGTTTCACGTGTCGCAGCTGAGAAAGCACATAACCGAACGTGAGACTGTGATATCTGAACCACCTTCGGAATTGCAAGAGAATCTGACCGTGGAAGGTAGACCGATTCGAGTGGTTGACAGGAAAGAAAAGCTTAAGCGTGGTAAGAGGGTCAAGATGATCCAAGTTGTCTGGGACTGTAATGGGGATGAGCAAACTACTTGGGAAGTAGAGTCCAAGATGAGTAAAAGGTTCCCGAAATGGTTTGAGAAACTTCAGGAAGAAGAACCGGATTCGAGGGCGTATCCAAACCAAGTGGGGGAGAGTTGTAGCATCCGTATCCGAGAAAATCTGGAATGATCGAGCCGGACAGGAGGTTGTCCGAAGGAATGGGAGTTCAGTCGAGGAAAAATCCGTACGGATTGGGAGGTTCAGACTATAGTCGATGGATGACTGGGAAATAGTCGAAGGATGGTCGGGCTGGCCGAGCAGGACGGACCATATCCGAGAGAAAAATGGTTCTGTCCGGGAGAAAGTGGATTATGTCCGAGAGAAATGGATTATGTCTGGGAGAAAGTGGATTATGTCCGAGAGAAATGGATTATGTCCGAGAGGAAATGGATTATGTTCGAGGGAAAAGGAAAATAGCGAGGCATTTTGGTTTTAGCCGAGTAAAAATGGGCTGGGCCCGTGGGCTGGGAGTTTGGTCGGATGAAAACTAATTTCTCGTGGGGATGGTCGAGCGGTTTAGGCGATATCCGAGATAAATCAAAGCTGACCGGGATAAACCTGACTGGAACCGGGAGACGCCGGCTATAACTGGGTTAACTAGGTTTTGCGAGCATATAAAAGGGATTTTGAGACCTTTTCTCGAGACAGCCGTATTATTTGAGAGAAATAACGCGTGAGAGAGAGATTGGTCGAGAGAAATCCCATAGTTTCTGATTATCTTGAGAGTTGGCCAAGAGAGATCGAAGTTTCGCCGGCGATTCCGACTATCACCGAGAGATCGAGCGTTCTGTCCGAGTTTCTGTGGATCTGTTTCGACCATTCGTCCTGATTTGAGGGTTTGCCGAGGGAATAACCAAGTTTATCCGAGGATTTTTGAGCAAATCGTGTGATATCCGAGAACACTTCGATTCGTCCGAGAGAATCTTGTAAGTGTTCGGCTATTCTGATTTCTGTTGAGTATCTGTCGAGTAACTTTGGGCTGATCGATCTGAATTATACTGTTTCCGAGGGAATACAGCTTCTTGCCCGAGAAAAAGTGACCGGGTTGAGAGATAGCCGAGAGGTGTTGGGATTTTACCAGACCAGTCTGAGCGATAGCCGAGAAATTGCAAGTGTGTCCGAGTATCTCAGTTTCTGATCAAGAAATCACCGAGATTCTTTCGACTGAAACGTTTGTTTCTGTGTCTAAGGTGAGTGTGTGACTGTAGTCTGTATCTAGAATCGTTGGATTGCTAGGTTATCTGATTTTCATTGATTGCTTGTGTAAGTTAGTGGTTTCTGCTTAGCAAGGTCAATGTTTCTGTGATTGTGAATGGTTAAGTGTGAACCGTGGTCAATACATGATGTCTAACTAGCTGTGTGAATGACCGGATCGAGTTACTAGCTCAAGGGGATGTGTGAATCTCGCTTGGAGCAGTACCGATGCCTTGTGAGGCTTCACAAGTAGTTGAGATGATCATAGGACCGTACTGTTTTCTGTGCTTGCTTGCTAAGTGATAATGTGAATTGTATAACTAATAGTATGATGCGTTTTCTGGTACTGGCTAATGTGTTACGGGATGACCGTATTCACTAAGTATTTATCAAATATTTATGTCTCTCTTTTTGAGTGTGCAGGTAAAGATAAAGTCCAGGGCGAGTAGCTCTGAGGGCGGACTGGAAGGGAGTGAAGGAAAGGGGTGGATTAGGACTGGGTTTTGGGATTCATATTCTGAGTTTGAGTTTCTATTTAAGTACTTGTGTTAGTGCTTTATGAGTTGAACCGAATCTGATAAGTTAGTTTATTATTGAGTCCGAATTCTGTTAAGTGTTTCTGGAATAATTATGCAATGAGAATGAATGTCTTTTGATGAATCGAACTTGTTTAAGTTTAAAAATTTTTTTTAAAATATGCATGTTTTTGTATTCTGGCCAAGAAAAGACTCGATGAGGTTCAGGTCGATCTAGTGATAGACAGTCGGATCCTCACAATAAGAGTCCTCTTTCTGCATCATCTGGGTTCAAGGTTTGCCTCGTGATTTCGCAGAACCAACAGACTGGAGAAGGAACCTTTCCCGAACTGTTGTGTCATCGCATAGGCAAAAGTGGTTGGCCTGTAGAAAACTTCCATGTTTACTATATCCCCACGTTTCGAACAGAGCATCTGTTTATATTTCAATCTGAGTTGCTTGACAAAGACAGATGGCTCGATGCAGACAAAGACAGCTGCAAATTCTACGAGATCATTGAATGTGGTATCCGGATCAATGCAGATGAAGCAGCAGACAGAAGCAGAGACAAATATTGGTCTGAAAAAGATGACTGGAGCTGAGTTTGAACCTAGACAAGCGTCAATAATCTGTGAGCAAGTATCCGAAGAAGAAGATGAAGAAGATAATGTCAAAGGCAACAAACATACAGATTGCTGGAATTGGATCGTTTTCTATTTTGATCTCAACATTAGAAGCTTGGTTTGGGGAAGAAGACAACAAAGCACCACAATGGTCTGAACGTGTAGTAGAACTAAACTGTTATTATATATGAAATTGAATTTTCTGTCATCTATGACCTAACCAATATACATAAACACTGCAACATTTTAGAGATGAAAAAGTTTACTCATACAGAAACGAAAAACCCCGTTCATGTGTCCTTTTGAAGCAATAGAGATGAAAGATCATTACCACCACCACCATTATTCGTCGGAATCGGAGTTTGGTCATTCCTACGCCGGCGCTTACCATAACCACTGTTAACCGCCACCTCTTGCCATCCTCCAAACGTCAAACTATTAGAAAACGTATCCTTCACACTCTCCATAACTTCCCTCTCTACCGGAGACAATCTCTCCAACGATATCCCTGAAGCAGCTTCCTCAAACTCCCTCATACAAGCAATCTACACAAAAAAACCAAATACAAAATCGATATTCCAGAATTCAAATATAAAAGCAAAAACATTTATCTTTTATCCTTACCATATTCATGACTTGGGACTCGAGGAACGCTTCTCGGTATAGCTTTGTGATACTGATCCGAGCATACCATTCCATGTAAGCTCCATCATCCACAACATTGCCACTCCCAGGACTGTCCACGATGTGGTCTCCACGTTCAGCCCATTCCTCGCAGGCTACACTCATCGACGTGTCCAAGTCATCGAGCCGCCGGTTTTTCCTATCACGGCGTTTCACTTTCTGAGGTATCGGCTGCCGTCTACCAAACTGCCTCAAACACCTATCCGGAAAATGTAACTCTATCTTCTCGAAGCATACAAGAGTCGTTTTCGATCTTCCTAGAATCAGCTTGGCTTTAATCTGTTGAGGGATCATACTCTCGAATCTTTCAAACGGGCACCAAGTTACCTACATTTTCCCAACCATCAAAAATCAACAAGAAGAGAGATAACTTGCTATAAACAGATTCTTGAGGGTGAAGTGAACTGTTAACCTTGCTTGGATCAAGATCATCAAGCTCTCTCCGGTACTCAGATAAGTCGGTTTTCGATCTGCTTCCTTTACCTTTCCACGAAAGAGCGAGCGGGAAACAAGCTTCGGATTTCTCCGGTCTACCGATATCCAAGTGGAAGTAACTCCAACACTGTATCATAAACAAAAACTAAGTTTACTTCCCCTGAAGATACCAAAATCTCATAAAACCAAAACCTCAAAACTAACAGAGCAAAAACAACCTGTAGCAAAGTCAAGCAGCCCCAGATATTGCTCTAATGATATCATTAAAAAAAAAAACTAAGTTACTTCCCCTAAAGATGTCAAAATCTCATAAAACCAAAACCTCAAAACTAATGTCAGGCAACCACAAATATTGCTCTAACGATATCATAAACAAAAACTATGTTACTTCCTCTAAAGATACTAAGACCTCAAAACTAACATAGCAACAACCTGAAGCAATGTCAGGCAACCACAAATATTGCGCTAGTGTAATCATAAACAAAGACTATGTTTACTTCCCCTAAAGATACCAAAACCTCATAAAACCAAAACCTTTAAAACTAACATAGCAACAAGAACCTGTAGCAATGTCAAGCAGCCACAGATATTGCTCTGAGACTTTAGCGAAGCGTTGCCAAGAGCACGGTAAAGACAAGCCAACGCAGCAGCTCCCCAAGCGTATCTCCCAGCTTGATCAAAGTCTTCAAACAAAGGCAAATACTTCACAGAGACTTTATCACCATCAGTAGTAGCAAAAATGGTGCTACCTATGAGATACAAAAGATAAGCTCGAGTATGGCATTTGATAACTTCAGGAGAAGCTTCTTCAGGACACTCTGAAAACGTTCTTTTGAGCCAATTAAGCTTAACCCTCGAGCAATTAACTTCTTTGTTAGCAGCAGATGGGAGTTTCCCTAAGAGTCTTCCACACATATCCATTGCGATCTCATCTCCTACTTTGGAACCAACGATGGGTTCTCCGTCGATGTCGAGTCCAAGAACTATAGCTACTTCGTCTAGTGTTATGGTCATTTCTCCTAGAGGAAGGTGAAAAGTGTTTGTTTCTCTCCTCCATCGCTCAACGAGTGCGGAGATGAGCGAATTGTTCAGACTCATCGGACCGATTTTGCGGAAGAATCCGAATCCTGCTTTGTCCACGAGCTTTATTTGTTCGTCAGTGAGTTTCCATTGATGAAGTAACGAAGTGTGTTCTTGGCAACGAAGCAGCCCTCGTTCCTAGGGATTGAAAGAGAGAAAAAGCATTTTCAATCCAAAATTCGAAAAATTAAAACATTCAAAATCCAAAATTCGAAAAGGGAATTGAGAGAAAAACCTGTCCTTCCCAAATAGCAGAAGAAACATGGAGATCTTGCTCGTAGAGAACAGATGGATCAACGGGTCCGACATCAATATCCATGGCGGAAATCTAAACTTGAAAATCAGCGAGAACGAAGATGTTGGGGATGCAAGCTAACTATACCCTAATTGGAATCGATTTATATTTTCTTTTTGGGTTTTTTTATCAATTGTACCTGTTATTTTCGTTTGGTTATTTAACATTTGGGTATTGAATCTAATCGTTCCGATTGAATAAGTCCTAGAATTGGTTGGATTAAGTGCAACTACGATGGATCTTATATATGAAAATTTTTTAATTTTTTTGAGATTATATTATTATTAGTTTATAAATTTTTTAAATTTTCGTAAAATTTACTACTGTTAGTGTAAATATTTTTAAATTTCATCCCAAATCATTTGTTATTATTGATTTTATAACTCTATTAAAATCTAATATTATTAGAATATTGATTTTTTATATTTTTACTCATAAAATTTAACTTTCAAAATATAAATACAATGTATAAAGATGAGATTTTCAAAATTCATGTCAAAATCTCCTGAAACAGTCAATCTCTTGAGCCAAGGTTAGTAAATTATCTATTAAACAAGATCAGCATTTCATTAAACACTTGGTGGGCATAAAAAAAAGCATAAATCCTAGATAAGTGTGATCAAGACAAATCTAGCTTAAGAACAGATCAATAGAGAGGAACCCATGTTATTAAGTATTAAACAAACCTTAATCAATCCCTAAATCCCCTTAATCTACCACATCTAAGAACCTAAAGCAAATTACTCACTAATAGCCATGTTTAACACCAAATCACAAGAGAAAAAGATGTTAATCATGATTAAAAGAGAGATTAAGAAAAGATTAATGGTAAATACAAACTTATATTAAATAAAGCAAGAAATTTGTCTTACAAACTCAGAAAAATAACTCAAGAACAGTGATATGACATGACTGCTCGAAAATCCCCAGAAAAATAGTATTTATACATAACGGAGGATGCCCTAAAAGTAATGGCAAAAGTGTAATAAAAAGCAGCTCCGGACTGGGTTCCTATCAGTCAGTTGTGACTGATAGGGTGATCGATAGGAGTCCTATCGGTCTAGAAGATGACCGATAGGGTGACCGAAATCCATATGGTGTACTTCTATCAGTCACTTCTCTGACCGATAGGCCTTATCGATAGGTCTTCTATCGGTCACTCCTTGATCGATAGGCCTTGTGTCTTGACCGATAGGCTCTGCAGAGATCGTCTGCCTTGGTTCCTTCTGCTCCATTTCAGCTCAGCCAGCTTCCTGGCCAACTCCCAAAACTCCTCCATGCTCCTTATAGCTTATTGAGTACCTAAAAACATCCATGATGCAAAAAAAATGCAAACTACATCCTAAATGCAACCTAAGTCTAAAAAGAGAAGGAAATGGGACAAAAGATAAGAAAAACATGCAAAAGAGAACCAAACATGCACTAAATGCAAGCCTAAATGGTGTAAATACTAGAGATATCAACACCTCCACACTTGCCTTTTGCTTGTCCTCAAGCAAATAAGAACAAATGAGAGAGTGAGGTTTAAAGGTGGGCATTCAAATCCAAAAGTGCAAAGGTAAAGAGATGGTATCAATGCTTAAGTGCCTAGTTGTGGGATGCAAACATAATCAGCCATACTTTAAAGAACTTAGCCATGCTCATCATGTTTCAAAATGATCTCAAATCTCAACTTAGGCAAATGCTCAAATCAGTTAACTCTTTAACATTCAATTAAGCTCAAAACCATGAATCATGCTTATGCAAATCAAGTGAAAACATTTGGTTCAAAGGGTAAGGTTATGAGATTAAAATGATCGCATTCAAGCAAAGGGTGCATAAACATAAGGGGTCACTCAATGAAATGATTCTATCTTAGGCAAAATGCTAAAGGTAAAAGCACACTTATGCATGCAATTTAAGCTCCATTCTACCCAAATATGAATCCTAAACACTTCTAAACCTCAAAGTGAACCCCTAAGTCTACCATTTACCTAAACTCTACCCTTTACCCTTCTTTGAGGCTGGGGAAACTTCTTCTTTTTGTTGAGACTTGCTCTTCTTTGTTGCATTGGCGCCTTCTTCACTTTTGGTGGATTGCTTTGGGCCTGATTTATCCTTTGGATTGACCCTTCAAAACCTTTATGTTGTTGGCGCCATTCTTTTTAAACACTTGGAGCTTTTACTTCACTTTACTTAACCACAATGCTAAACTGTTTTCCTTTTTCTACTATTTCAAACTTTTCCTCTTCTTTTCAAAGCATATAAACATGAAGTTCAAACCACTTAACTCTACTCTTTTAACCCAAAACTCCTAACCTAGAATCAAGCTCAAGATGCAAGCTGATATCTACATGAGAGCTTATTATTGCCAGCCTTATTCCTAACACTTCTTGCCAAGACAAAATCAAAAATGATATGCAAAGGCCTCACAGCTCTCAAGATATTGTTTAAGCTCAAAATGAGGTTTTGGTTAAGGGAGTGGATTAACTGTCCCATAAGTATGAGGATCGGCTATTTGGATCAACAAGAGTGGTAAAAAGAGAAAAGATGATCCAAATATGTATATGGTAGCCATGAAATCACTTTTCAATGCATAAAACATGATAATTAAAAGTCCAAATTAAAGTTCAAGTTGATAGAGTTGATTTTCAGAGAACAAATGCTTTCAGTATGAGATGAGATGATCAAAATTAGCATTCCAAGCATGGTTCAGTCTTAACTTCTAGCTTTCTTATGATGCATCAAACAACTAATCACTTCAACATTGAAATTATCTCTAAACACTAATCACTTTACAAGGAAGATTCATCATTATGCCTTATGCAAATGCAATGCAACCTATATGTTAACACTAGACTCAATCATAAGAGAATGATATGCAACTACATGTTTTCTTTTTTGGTTTGCAAAAATATGCAAATTTTTTCAAATTTTTCGATTTTTTGTGTTTTTCTATGCCTTAGATGAATGCATGATATACATGTGACTCAAGATGAAAGAAAATGAAAAACTAAGAAAAAAGAAAACAAAGTCAAACCCCAAATCTATCTCCCACACTTAAATTACACAGTCCCTTGTGTAATGAAAGTAATGAGAGAGAAAAGCAACAAAATATAATACAAAACTTAAAAAAATGCAGTGGTATAAATAATGAGTAGGATGTGGTACCTTTTAGTAAGTATAGTGGTGGGAGGATCCAGCTGTCTGTGGAGACTTGCTAGCTCTCCTCTTGTTCCTCCTCTCTTGGCTTTGTGAAGATGTTTCTGCTGCTTGAGGTGGAGGAACCCAGCTTAACCATATCTGTTCAGCTTGAGAAGAATCACCTTGAGTACCCCATTGCCATGGTTGTTGAACTTCAGAAGGGTTAGGAGATGGCGCTTCCCATGCTGATGGTATATGGGTCCTTGGTTCATATAATGAAGCCCTTGGTTGTGCCCATATTCCCCATTGATCACTTGGTTGTGCATGAAATGAATATCTTCCTTGGGGGTTCCAAACAGCTTCTTCTTCTTCAGTAGGATCAGCTTGTGGCATTGGCTCTTCATGGTGAGAAGTGTACTCATGAGTGTGGCTCTGATGGGAAGCTTCTCCTGATGTAGCTTTGTTCTTTTTGAACTTCCCCTTCACCATCTTCACTAGATTCTTGATGGCTTTGTCTTGCCACTTACACCATTTCTGAAGGGTGTTGATATGCTTATGAGCAGACTTCATAGAGCTCTCTTGGCTTGGGCCTTCATAAGGCTTGAAGTGGAACTGCTTTGAGTTGTAGTTCAGCACCTCATCTTCATCAAGCTCTTCTTCTTGGGTTTCTCTTTGGCTTTCAACGCCAACAATAGCATCTTCATGACTTCTTCTGGAGTCTCTTCTGCACCTTCTTCTCTAACCTCTTCTTCAACTTCTACTTCCTCACTATCTTCTCTTCTCTCTTCTGGAACAGGGTCTCCATGGTAAAGCTGATCTTCACTTGGGTTGAAACTGATGTTGCTCTTCATGGTGATGGATGTAAGCCTTGGATTAGGGAGGAGGATTCTTGCTGGATCTTCAAAGTCATTGAGGAACTTGTAGACATGCTTGTCTTGAATGCTCTTCTCAATGAAATGGCCTCTCCTAAGATAGTCCATATCTATCCACAATGGCTCCATATCATCTTTTTCATGTTCCTCAAGGCCTATACCACTAGCCATAAGAACAGCTGTCACAACTCCTCCAATGTGGAGTTGTGGGTTCCTCTCCCTTTTCCCTTTGTGTAAGACCCAGCTCTTGTAGGTTAGGAGATGCTCCATCAGCATGGTCACAAAGCATGGGAATTTGGTTGGCGGCTCTAGTGGTGTTCCATTTCTGCTGGTGCCCACAAGCGCATACATCCCATTGTACAGGAAGTCTCTCTCCTTTCCAGTGAGGTTTGTTGTTTCCTTTCTTGCAAAAAATGTATTTGCAAGCGCCTTATGAGCATACCTCACTGCAGGATTCTTTAGATGTTGATTCCTTGTGGCTCCAGCTATGAAATTTACAGCCCCAATCATGCCCCATAGCATCATGTGCTCCTTTTGGCCGATTAAGAACTTGTTCCTCTTGTGAGCATAAGACATCAGGCCAAGCGCTTGAGAGATTTCAAGGAAGGTTGTTGTGAACCTTTGCTTTCCAAGCTTGAAGGAGATCCACCTATCTTTGTTGGAGAGCTCACTTTCATCATATCCAACCACCTTGAGAGTATAAAGGAATTGATAAGTAAGCTACTGGTAGGAGGGAAGTGGCATTGCCATGAACTCACCAAGCCCCATGTGCTCAAAGATACTCTTGCAATCGCTATAGATCCCAAGTGCTTTCATGGTGTTATCACAAGGGTATCTTGTAGCCTTGAAAGTGCACTGACTGAAAGCCTCCATGAGTTCTCTAGCACTTGGCTCCTTGTATGGGACCTCTTCTTCAGCAGCTCTGCCCTTTCCTTTATTCTTGGCAGCCTTGTCCCCAACAGGTTTCTTCTCAGCAGCTTTTGATGACTGCCCAGCAGCATTGCCCTTGCCCTTATCTCTTCTAACTCTTGGAAAAGTAGGCGCTTCCTCTTGTGGTGTTTTTCCTTTGCTTCCAGCAGCAGTCCTTGATCTACCTATGGTACCTACAAAAACAAAGCTTGAAGATACTATAAGTAGAAGAACAACAGTTGACAAAATAATAACTGAAAGCTTTAGAAATAATTTCTCTAAGCTAAAGAAAGTT